AAGTGAACAGGGAAAATCTTTTGATCAAGTAACATCGCTGGCAGGAATTGAAAGCATTTGGCTTGTCTGGTAAATGGTTGGTACAGTGTCTGGTTTGCAAGGGCCCTCACTTTTTTCCAGGAGAGAGATCCAAGGAGCCACTGGGGCTGGAAAGCCACTTAGTTCACCCTTGGGACAGAATGACTCCCCGTAGGTTGATTTTACTTTAACTTTGGTGGTGTATGACTGATTAGACCTTAAAGTAACATAATTTGGATTACATGCTTGCAAATCTACTGTGACCTGAATAGCATTTTGGCCTGTGATTCTTCCCATGTGCCTCCTGGGACCTGCTTTTGGGATGGAAATGGGTCACAGCTGAAAAACTCAAAAGCTGCTTGCTAAGCCCTGTGCCCTTCTGCAGTCCCTTAGGTCACTTTTCCTTTCTGACTATGAATTATCTATATCCCAGCTTTTGCGTGAAAGCTTCCTAAAAACAAGCCCCATGCATGATGAGATAAGAGTCTGTCTGAGTAATAATACTGAAGATGGTTGATCATTTTCCAAGGGCAGAAATAGTCTCAGAGGATCAGTGTCAGCTGGACTTTAGTGGAGCCCTGCTGATTTAGACAAGCTCAAAATCTGTTCCACGGAGCCTTTATCCATCTGTGTGGGTTGCTTAAAATATCTTTTTTTTCTCCTTTATGTAGTATCCAAGCCATGGAAGCCTGGAGGGGTCCACTGGAAATAGAGAGAAACCCCAGGAGGAAGATCTTGTCTCTGGACAGACAGGATGCAAAGAGAGTGTTGGAACTGTATGTCAAACGCACCCTGAGCAACTGCGAGGACTGCTTTGCTGCTAAGGAAAGACTGCAGGAAGGCAGTGGAGGGCAAGTAAAGAAGACGGCTCGGCTCCAAAGGTCAGCGAGTGACTTCTGCAGGTATTCAAGCTTCAGAGGCATTCGGAGGAAAAGCCAGGCAGACAAAGCCAAGGCAAAACAGTCAGAAGATGCTGGCAGCAAGAAGAAAAAGCAGGTAGCTTGTGGGAGCACTACAGATGATGAGCAGAAGCCAAAGGGGAAAAGCTCGAAGAATGTGCCTGAGGGGAAAAGTCAGTATTGGGGGATCAAGACTTTCCTGAATTTCCTCTTCCGGAGAAACACAGATGAGCACAGAGAGAAATCATGTAGGAAGAAAAAGGATAAAGATGCTGACAAGCAGCAGGTGCCCATGGAAGCTGAAGAGGTTAAGAGATCCAGAACAGACTTGAATTCATCAACGCAGTCTCGTAAGGCCAATAAAAAGAGAACCAGCTTCAGGAAAGCTTTCGCCTTTAAGAAACTTGTCACTGAGGAGGAAAAGGGGGAAGGGTTGGAAGCAGGAGCTAAAGCAAAGAAATCCAACCTTCTTCCACTGGAGAACAGTCAGAAGCCAGGTGTGCCAGGTGAGCGCATATAACATTTGTGTGATGAGGTACTCGTGTTCCCTGGGGAGAAACGATGTGGCTAGAGGCAGAATTTACAATGGGGATATAGAGGCCTGAAGCCTTGTCCACACTAGAAAGGATTTGCTGGGAGAGCCGGTGTAGTGGTATAGCTTTTTTTGGCAACCCCCACATTAGAGCCATAATTTAGGGCTTTCAAGGGTCTGTGCCTACATTACAGAGCCTGTCCCAACATCCTATGCCAGCCTAGGTATATCAGCTGGTGAATGCCAGCCTAGTGAAAAGGGAGTCAGCAGGGAAGCATTTTGCTAGGTGTGTAGCTGCCCCACATCACTGAAGGACATGAGCTAAATTGACAAAGGTATCCCATAGCCAGGGTATGGCTGACCTAGCTATGTTGGCTAGGAGGTGTGACTTTTTCATGCTTCTAGCTGACTTAGCCACATCAAAAGTATAGGTGTAGTCTTTTTTTAACATACTATATACCAGTTTCCTGAATGGATTTTCTGTCTTTGCTAAATGACTTGTTCCATAGGGTTATCTGCATCTACACAAAGGCTTTGTGCCAGCATAGAAGTGTCACAAAGACTCACACCCTGACCAACATTCTCATTTAAGTAAAAGTTGGGATAAGATTTGACTTCACTCCCATTCACTTTCAAGGGTCTGTGCCTTGTCTAGATGAAGTTACTTTTGTGGGAATAGTTTAACTGGTCTAGAACCAGAAATAAGCAATGCTGGTTTCAGGCTTTTTCTAACCTGTATCATTGCAACATCCATTTCCTGGTATATCACTGAAAACCACACCCCCAGCCTACAGAGTTTTGCCTGTAAAACTTTTACAATAGATTAGATATTAGTTTAACAGGCACGTAAGTTAACTGCTTTTCCCCTGGTTGTGATTTGGCTTACTTAAAGACTAGCAGGATTGTTTTGTGAAGGATTTGGTAAAGTTTCGGTACAATTTGGGAAGGCTCCATGGATGTATATCTGTCTAGGGCTGTTTCTCTAGCAGTAACCGCAGTTTGAGAAGCACAATATAATGTTTGTTATTACCTCATACTAATTCAGGGTGGGTATAAGTATGGTGCAAACGCTGGCTGGAAATCTGGCATTAAGGAGCGTGACCTATCTGAAGTTTCCTTGTTGATCAACTGGATCACACAGATTACGAACCTTATCTTCCTTTTTTCAGACACAGAACAACATGATCAGTACTGTGCACAGGTTTCTGAGGAGATAGAACTGATCATCCAGAGCAATGAATCCAAGGGGAAGAAAGGACACAGTTACCACGAGCCACCAAAACCTGTTAGCGCTAATGAAGCTGGTGAGTATCATCCTTTTTGGCAATACTTATATTAACAGGTCACTCTTGATCCACGTGTGGAGAACTCAGTGGTTGAGATTATCCATGTGCAGAATGCACACAGTCTGTGTACAACATAGTCCCTGCCATGGCCTATTTTAAGGATTTAAATGAAATTAAAGGCATGGACAAATGACACACACTTGGGCCGGATGTGGCCCTCCAGGCCATTCTATCCAGCCTGCAGGGCTCCTAAAAAAATTAGAAAATTAATATTTATCTGCTCCTGGCTGCCTGTCATGTGGCCCTCGATGGCTTGACAAAACTCATTAAGTGGTCCTCTGCCCAAAATAATTGCCCGCCCCTGATTAATGTAACAAATGTGTAAAAAACCCCAAAAAACAACCCCCCCAAAAAAACAAACAAACAAACAAACAAAAAAAAACCAAACTAGCAGACAGGTGATGCATATCTCTAAACTGGGATAACTTTGTCTGGCCTGGTGTAGAATTGTCCCTCAGAATTGAGGATAAGAACCTACTGGTACAAGTTACACCATTTTGGATTATGCCTGTCTGTGTTATATTGGCTTAGCAATTTTCTAAAGGTAAGCTAAACACCACCTGTTTCCCTGTCCCTCTGTGGCAAGGTGCTTTAATAGTTGTTACTGTGTAAGCTACACTGGGATAGCTACCCCTCTCTGTCACAGATCCTAGAGCATATATCAGTATAGAAACCCAATGCAAATTATACTGGGATATGGGATCATTTGTTCATGCCATAGGTATAACATGGGTAGATTGTCAACATTAGGGAGTGACTCTGGGACCTGTAGATCTAAAAGCAGGAGCTTCTATTGCTAGAGCTCTGCTGGCAGAGGCTGCAGAAAGGTTCAACCTCAGTACATGGCCAAATCATCACCAAAGGGCACAGAATGCCGCAGTGAGTTGGTTTGGGTTTTATTAATGCTACATGCTCTTGGGAGGTTCATATTTCAATTGCTGGTGCATGCTAAAGACAGTGTCTGCATCCTCACTGCTGCTGTTACTGATTCACAGATTCATAGAAGTTTAGGGCTGGAAGGGGCCTTGTGAGACTTGTCCAAACTGGTGGTTCATATTCATTTTATGGTCAGTTAGCGTAGCACCAGATTCCAGCTATTCAGCTGGCACGGGTGGGTAGGATAGCCAGTCTTTGTATTGGTTGGTAGAGGTACTCATTGGATGTGTCTACACAAGACGCTACTGCGCAGTCGTTACTGTGCATTTATTTAGTACTTATCTTAGCAAGTACTAAATAAAAGTGCAGTAACCAGAGTTACTGCACATAACACTGGCAAATGTATTTTAGGTGATTCTACTGCACGATAGCCTGATAATACTACACAGAAGTGTATTAGCTCTGTCTGTGCTGTGGTGTGCTACAGTGCAGTACAGTCAGTGTCTCCTCTAGATGCACAGTCAGTGCCTCCTCTAGATGCACCCACTGTGTGGCTCTTTGTCTGAGGTAGTGCTTACAACACCTGTAGGTATCTGTGAGCATGCTACTGCTTCTGAGCTGACAGACCTGGTACTTTGTGGGGAATCTCTCAAAGACGTTACAAGCAGAGAAGGACACAAAGCCTCACTGTTTTAGCACCAGTTTCCCATGCCATGGGACAGCAGTGATAAAGTTACCCATCCTAAGCTGAGCACCAAGCTTGTGGCACTGAGCCCATGGTGTGGTGATTTGAGAGCTATGCTGGGAAGTGAGAGAGGTCCTGGTTCAGCCTTCCTGGGAGGGGTAGAAGGCAAGGCCTCCAGCTTCTCAAGTAAGCACCCTAGCCACTCGGCTGTGGGACATCAGAGAGACACCCCTTTTTCTCTGATTCATATGGAACTTGAAGCTTCAAATTGCTAAGGCACACAGACTTGGATTTGAAGAAGAGGCTGCTAGAAATTCTGGAAGTAATTCCATATATCTTTTTGCAGAGGAAGCCATAAGAAGAATTGTTTCCTTCCTTGAGAGTGCTGGAGATGACTGGGATAAGAAGGTGAGGATGGGGCTTTCTTCCAGTGGTTGGCTGGTAGCATACAGATGGTTTTAACCAAACTCTGAATGTGACCACACCAGTTGACATAGTGCACAGGTGCCACAAAAACTGAGATTCACATTAAGGTCTCTGCTCTCACTCCATT